AGAAGGACAAAAGGTATAGAAAACTTTTTGAAGTGGGATCTGTAAAAAAATCTCTCAGTAAAGAAAATATTATAAAGCGTTAAAATTGGGCCAAGAAATACATGAAAATGGACGAATCTCGAGTAACATTTCATGGACCCTATGGATGGGTGAAAGAATGGATTTTATTAAATTCAAACGTGCCTGTGGTTAAAAGAAGGCAATAAGGAGGCGGAAGTGGTATAATATGGACTGGAATTGTCGATCAAGACATTATAGGACCATTCAAAGTCGGTGAAGCAATTAAACTGAACAATCCTAACTATTTCAACTTTATGAACAAGACTTTATTTGCATGGTACAAGTCCCAGTTTCACAGTTTCAAACTTAAAGTGTGTATTTATCCACGAAAATGCTCCTTCTCACGTATCTAAGTTTACTCGTGAGTTATTTGAGCATAAAAGATCTACAGGAGAAAAGGAAATGGAATGACCACCACCAAGTTCTATAATGTTTAGTTATTTTGTGTATGGATAAACTGAATAACACATGGGACATAGTTGATACTCAAAGATTAATAACTGGGAATATTGATTAATTCGTTTTCTATGGCTTATAAATCCCTTCCAGTTTTTTTTTTAAGCCAGAAAATAGTTTTAGATTTTTAGAATTTTTTTAGATAATAATTGTTTAGTGATAAGTGTTACTAATTAACCAATAGCTGGGGGAGAAGAAATTAATTCATATCTTTCCCAAGAGTGTTTGCGCGTAAGTGGATATAACGGACCTAAAATGAATTGGAAGTCGGCTCTGTGATTAGCAACTCCGAGTCATTATCCTTTACACCATTCGCACATCCAAGCATACAGTAACTGGTATTCCCAAGCGATCACCCACCTAGATGTTGACTAGGCTCGTCCTTGCTTAACTTTGGGGATTGTACGGGAATAGGTGCTTCAACTTGTAACTGATAAATCAACATTTATAGTTAAGATTTTAATACCTTAAACTTTTGTTAGTACAAAATGTGTCCCTTAACAGTTAGCAGTATTAAGCTATAATTTCTGATTAGTCAAGTAGCTACAAAGCGTTTCTCGTTTTAGTCATAATATTTGAGTTAATTTGTACAGTTTTAATTGCTTACTGCAAATAAATGCTGTTTCATTAAGACATATTATATATAAGGGTGTTTCATTAAGACGGATTAAAGTCAGCAGTAATTTAATCAGTGTTATTGGTGACAATTTATTTATTTTTCTATTGAATCATATTATTTAAGTCATGGTAAGTATGTGTGAAAAATAATATCGCCTAAATATCCACCAAATCTGAAAGAAAAAGAAAAAATCATTAGACCCTTAAACTTAATTCACATTTAAAATCGGTTCAAGTTATTGGACCACCCGTTAGAACATCTTTCAGTTATCAACACACTGTTTAGGACACATTTTGTTATTTCCTTCTCGATGCCACTTGGAATGATAGTTTTAGTCGTCCTTTTAAGAAATGTGCTACTGAGGTCTATTCCTGAGGTTAAGCTGGCATCGAAGAATCGTTCCAATCAAGTGAATGCCAAGTGGAAGCATGATCATTTCCTTTGTTCTCAACTGTTTGTTCAGCCGCTATAGCCCATAGGAATCACTACTTCCGGTTATACCAGAGTGACTGGTCCGATTCTAACAGTCGTCTCTTTGTCTTTGCTCATAATGAATGCAGCCGTGTCGCCAAAGAATCGAAGTCAATATTTGCTGATAAAAAGAGACACAGTATAGTGTGTAAAATGTTTGGTTCTAGAGATTACTGCAGTGGTGTCCTGAACAATAGCAAAGCCTCTGTCCCTAATCTCTTCAATCAATTTGAAGTACTGACCTCTCCTGCAGATAAAGCAAAGTACATTTGACAGAAGTTCTCTTCCAAATCTACGCTTGATTCACCTGAAGTACCTCTGCTAGATTTTCCTTGTAGAACGAAGGTCCGACTGTGTGACATGCGCATAATTTGTAATTGGTTTCTTCTGTGATTTCTAAATTAGATCCTCACAAGTCGTCCTAATGAATGTGCTCCTGAGCTGGCTCCTGTTCTCTCTAGACTTTACAACAAATGCCACGCTCCTTCTTGTTTTCAGCTTGTTGAAAGTTCTCCTCTGTTTTTAAGAACGTAAGGGAACTTCTGACCCCTCAAATTATCGGCCTAGTCGTCTATCACCTTTGTTTGGCAAAAGTACTCCAGGCTGGTTAAGCATCTTACTTCTCATAGCCACCTTTCGAACGAACAATATGGCTTCCGTTTCGCGAGGTTTATCGTTGACGTACTAACGGCTATCACTGAATTTGTCTATCAAGCTTCAGATAAGAATTGCGAAACTCGGTTTGTCGATCAGATATCTGAAAGGCGTTCGACAGGGTTTGGTATGCTGGCCTTCTCCTAAATTCCTAGGGCTACGGAGTCATGGGATGAATATTTGTCTTAATTCAGTCGTTCCTAACAAATTATGCAATGATGGCCGTGTTGAACAGACACGTTTCCAGATCATTTCGTACTGATGCGGGGTACCTCAGGGCTCTATTCTAGGAACTACGCTGTTTGTGATCTTTATCAATGACCTCCTCGATGTTATCAGTTCGCAAGTAGATATTTATGCAGATGACACAGCCATTTAATCCTGTCGTATTAGCAATTCCGACACATTCGACAAAGTAAATCTGGTAGATGCTCTCGAAAAGGACCCCCAATCAATGGTTAACTGGGACAAGAAATGGATTGTAAATTTTAACGCCTCCATAATAAAACTGCTTTCATTTAATTACCATAGAGAAACTTCCCTGCATGCTATCAGCATGGCTAATGCTAAACCCCAGAAGTACAACTCTCTACGCCTTCTTGACCTCACGTTTTCCACTGACATTAAGTGGAGCGACTATATTGAATCAATTGCTGCGTATACTGCAAGTAAATTTGGTTCAGTGTGTCGTGCCAGAGGTCTTTTCGCTCTAGAATCTATTTTACATCTTTAAGTCTACAATTCTTCGGTGCATTGAATACTGCTGCCATATCTGATCTGGTGATTCTGCTGTATATCTCTAGATTCTTATCAAAATTCAAAGAAGGGTATGTAATGTAATCGGTCCTGATTTCTTAGTGAGGCGATGGGAATTCTTTCTGCCGTTTGTACAAACATTCTCATAGGAACTATTCTGATGTGCCTCGACAACATGAATTTAAGCGTGATACTAAATTAGCAACTAAGTCTTACCGTTTTAATGTAGAAATAGCTTCCATTTTAATCTTTTTCTTTTACCACATTTCTCCCCCGTGGAACTCACTTCCAATTTCTTGCTTCCCTGACAATCTTCAAAAATTTAAATGCAACATTAATCGCCATCTTGTTTTACTGAACCCTGTTACTATATAAATAGCTAGATGCAACCGCCACTTCCATTTTAATCTTTTTCTTTTACCACATTTCTCCCCCGTGGAACTCACTTCCAATTTCTTGCTTCCCTGACAATCTTCAAAAATTTAAATGCAACATTAATCGCCATCTTGTTTTACTGAACCCTGTTACTATATTGTCTTTCCATCATTCCTCCTCACTGATGTCGTCTCATTCTTTTTTCACTCTCTGTAAATTCCTAGTGGTATTGTGGCTTTTTGGGGGGTTAAACGATTCAAAAAAAATAAATGAATGTTATTTTTGCATATTTTAAACTTTTGTAAATGACAAAGTCAAAAAGCAAAGCAAAATGTTTATTTTTCGAAATAAAAACTTTTGTATTTTACCTTTTTATTTATCGCACAAAACCCATAAAGATTATCCAAGACAATTTATGATAAGAACATTTTGATTCAAACTATATATCGAAGTCTCCACGTTACTAATGCTATGCTAATGTCCTTTGAGATAAGTCACTTAGGTCCCAATACAGGAGGGTGTTTAATATTTGACGAGTCTTTTTTTTCCCAATTTGCAATAATCGGAGATAATGCTGATTGTGCTCTTACAAAAGCAATGCTTTTTTTTTCTTTGCAAAACCTCTTTATATTGATATAGGACTAATTCGTATTAAGATAACTTTTAGCCATACCTACAAAGCACAAACATTTCGGAAAGAACCGACCACTAATGTTCTATAATATTGCTCATTTCAATAAGTCTGGTACTCTGAATAGTCTCAGTAATAGGCGAGGAGTAAAGGAAAGAGATGTAGGATTGACTTGAAACAGCAACATCGCTCTCCATCATGGCATGCTTCGATCCGATGAATAAAACATGAAGCTGGTTGAAGGGAGAGAATGGTGTGGTTCGAGTCGAGAGAATCTTGGGTTGGGCACGGGGTCGAGGCAAGGCTCCGAACGCACGGACACCATCAACAACGGCTCCGGTAACACAGCTGGCGTGAGCCGCCATTAACGAGTTGTCCCCAACCCTGCACTCTCCGCCTGGCTACACACATCTCCCAAGTACGCATGCGCAGTTTTTATCACACCGACATTTCCCGCGCCTGGGTTTTGTCATGTCGGCTGAGTCAACACCGAAGATTTCGCTTCGTGTGCCGGTTCCCGGATGTTGATGCTTCCTTTCTGGCAATCAGTGTTTTTCCTTCCACCCCCTGCTTATTTTTTTCTGACAAATAAATAAGTAAACAATAAGCATCGTTGATAATAAGAGTAGTTGTAGATATTTCGGTCATTATAAAGCATTATGATTATTAACATCATCAATGTTAATGCTGTAGTAATAATGACGTTATAAAAAGTGATAATACTCTTGTGTAGGAAATACAAGTGCCGGGAGGATTAAATTATTTCGATTCACGATTATTATTTTTTAAATAATTTTCTCTGCGATATGATGATTTGAGGCAGTTTATTAAACTTATACTATTGTTTTAGATGAAAAATTCCACCAGGAATTCCAGGCGGCACTTATATTTGGTAAAATTAAATATAAAACGGAAAAATAAGACAAAAGAAAAATAAAAAGTATATAAACGAAGGGAATATGGAGAAAAAAGTGAATGTTATAATAGACGAAACAGGAAAGATCTAAAGTAAAATGAATTTGGAGAAAATGAAGAAAAGATGACATTAAAGGAATATGAGTTCGCAAAATTAAAAAAAAAAATGTGATAAAATGATCGGAAAAATGAAGAAAAGAAACGGGCAAAAATTGGAGAAAATGAAGAAAAGATGACATAAAACATAAAGGGAATATGGAGAGGAAAAGGAACTGAATTATAATAGACGACAAAGTAAAATTGACGAAAAAAAAAATGTGAATGAAATGAAGAATGATCTAAGTAAAAATGAAGTTCAAAAAATTGGAAAAAAGAAAAAGATGACAAATATGGAGAGGAAAAGTGAACTGAATTATAATAGACGACGAAGTAAGAATTGACGAAAAAAAATGTGAACGAAATGAAGAATGATCTAAAAAATGAAGTAAAGAAAAAAACGGCAAAATTGAAAAATGAATGACATAAAACTAAAAGGGAATATGGAAAAAAGTGAACTGAATTATAATAGACGACGAAGTAAAATTGACGAAAAAAATGTGAACGAAATGAAGAATGATCTAAGTAAAATGAAGTAAAGAAAAAAAAACGGGCAAAATTGGAAAATGAATGAAGAAAAGATGACATAAAACATAAAGGAATATGGAGGAAAAGTGAACTGAATTATAATAGACGACGAAGTAAGAATTGACGAAAAAAAAATGTGAACGAAATGAAGAATGATCTAAGTAAAATGAAGTAAAGAAAAAGAAACGGGCAAAAATTGGAGAAAATGAAGAAAAGATGACATAAAACATAAAGGGAATATGGAGAGGAAAAGTGAACTGAATTATAATAGACGACGAAGTAAGAATTGACGAAAAAAAATGTGAACGAAATGAAGAATGATCTAAGTAAAATGAAGTAAAGAAAAAGAAACGGGCAAAAATTGGACGAAAAAAGATGAAATATGGATGTAATAGAACGAAATGAAGAATAAAATGTGAACGAAATGAAGAATAATCTAAGTAAAATGACGTAAAGAAAAAGAATCGGGCAAAAATTGGAGAAAATGAAGAAAAGATGACATAAAACCATTGAAAAACAACGGCAAATGAATAAAAAACAAGAATCAAAAAGAAAAAAAAAGAAAAAAGAAAAATGGACGATGTAGATAAAAATAAAACTTCTTCTACGTACCCACTCTCTTCAGAACGTTGACGATCATGGCTCTCCACGATTTCCTGTCCTTTGTAGCTCTTAATAACTTTTGTCTTTTTTGCCATCTCTTTCATACCCTGCTCTGCCATCCATTCACTCCAGCTCGCCATGTCGATTGCGCTTTGCTTTCCACTTGCCCTCTTACTTTCAATATGTCCTGTGAACATTATATTTTTCAAGACATCTTTCCATATTATGGGCCCCAGGAATTTCAGTTGTCTGTTCCTGGTGTTAATCATGTGTTCTTTTTGGTCGCATTGTTTCCAGAACACTGTCGTTGCTCTTATGTTCGCTCTCTGGTGTTCTCAGCATCCTTGTGTAGAACCACATTTCCGTTGCTTCAAGTCTCTTCTTCATCTGTGAGTGGATTGTCCAACATTCACTGCCATATAAGAGGACTGATATTACATAACAGTTCAGTTCTTTTTTTTCTTTGTGTCTAACGATATTTTTCTATTTCTTGGTACTTTGCTCAACTTTTGGAAAACATCTTTCGCTATCCCAAAACTCCTTCGGATATCCGTGTCTCATTCCCCGTCCTCTGTTAATACGCTTTCTAGATATCTGAACTGTTGCACTTGTTTGATTTCGGTGTCACCAATTTTGTAATTAGCATGTTGTGCTGTTCCTTTTGCTAACAAACATGCATACGGGCACCTTGCAATTGATATTTAGTAATTTCTTCCCGCTTGCCTTCACTAACTTCTGTAGTTCTAATACTTTCCTTTTAAAACAAACTCCTGACAAATGATGAACGGTTATAATAACGGAATATAAATTGCAGCAACAATGTGAAACACTGTAACTATGTAAAATACTGCAATGATGATTACTATCAAGTTTACAATAACCATAACAAGTCCGGATCAACTCCTACGTAAAAGGGATTTTTTTACCACGTATATATCACCAGACAAGCCCAATGACAGTATTTTTTCTAAGAGAAGGGGCATAGTTATTATTATCATTATTATTATTATTATTATTATTATTATTATTATTTTCTTTGATTTCTGGCGTTTACACATTTCTTTCCGGGTCCCGCCCAGGGACCTAAGGTTAGAAATGGCGTCATGACACTTGCCACTGAAAAAAAAAATGACTACATAGATAAAGCCCTTCGTAAGGTGTGGGCTGTACTTGTCAGAACAATTTTCTGTATCTCCTTGAGGCATGGACTTCCAAGAATCCCTTCAATTAGTCTACTGGAATCTTTTCCAACCAGTCCTAGGGCTCCAACTACAACAGGGATTGTTGATGTTCCCATATGCCACATTTTCGCGATTTCTATTTCAAGGTCCTTGTACTTTGACAACTTTTTTAATATCTTCAAAGATACATTGCAGTCGGCAGGGACTGCCATATCAATAAGGAGGCACCGTTTTTGTTTGTGGTCTTTAATAACAATATCTGGGCGGTTGGCCTTGATTGTTCTATCAGTGTGTATTGTGTAGTCCCATAGAATTGTAACAGGTCCTATCTCCGTAACCGGGTCTGGGTGGTGTTCATACCAGTTTCTTTCAGTTTTCTTCCCGTAGAAGTTGCAGATTTTCCAGTGCAGATATTGGCCCACTCTGTCATGTCGGGTTTTTATATTCAGTGGGTGCCAACACCGTACAACCTGCTACAAGATGATCAATCGTTTCTGGATATTTATCACAGAATCTGCATTTTGGGCTGACACAATATTTTAGTATATGTGCTTGATAATTCCTAGTTAGCAAGCATTGGTCCTGCGCAGCAAGGATAAAACCTTCAGTTTCAGCTTTCAACCCTGCACTACGTAGCCACTGATGGGTACGGTTTTTGTCTACGTCAGCTTTTTTGGTACGGGCAGTGTATTGGCCATGAAGCGGTTTATCTTGCCATCGCTTCTGTATCTGGTCGGTTGCATTCGTCTTTGCTGTCTTTTGTAGGTATTTTGCTGTTTCAGCCGGTGTATTGTGCTGTAGTTGCATCTCTATGCCCATTTGAAACTCCATTTTGAATTTGTTGGATTCTTTCATTACGGAGTAAAGACGCTTAATACTTTCATGTTCCTTGACGCATACCATCATCCAGTCTTCTGTAGTTTCCATATATCTTTGGAGGCCAAATTTTGTAGTTTTGTAGGACAGTTCTAGTTAAACTAATCCTCTGCCTCCTTCGGATCTGGGCACATACAGGCGATCAACATCAGCTTTGGGATGATGCATGCGATAGCAAGTGAGTAGCTTTCTCGTTTTGGCATCCATTCGCTTAATTTCAGCTGTGGTCCAGTTAAGGACATTAAAGCTGTATTGCACCACAGGGACAGCCAATGTGTTTATGGCTGATATCCTGTTTTTTGAGTTTAGCTCAGTATTTAGTACCAGACGTACACGCCTGTAGTACTCTTTTCTTATTTTTTCCTTCATTTGGGGGTGTTGTATGCCATCTCCTTCGCTAATTCCTAGGTACTTATAAGCTTCACCATGCTCCAGTTCCCTAATCTTTGTGACAAAATCTAAATCTATTAAGGGTGTTTCTGTAATTCTACCTTTCTTGAAAGTTACTTTTGCACATTTATCTAATCCGAAGTCCATACCTATGTCGTCACTGAAGTATTTTACAATATTGAGGAGGCCTTTCAACTCATTGTCGTCTTTGGCAAAGAGTTTGAGATCATCCATGTATAGTAGGTGATTGAATATTTTCTTATTTATTTTGTAACCATAGCTACTGTTGTTCAGTTCATGTGTAAGAGGGATTAAGGATAAACAAAACAGAAGGGGTGACAGAGAGTCTCCTTGAAAGATTCCACGTCGGATATTCAGACGGTTGGATATGGCAGTGCCCCCGGTGTGACTAAAGTATAGTTTGGTGTTCCACATTCCCATGCTGTGCTTAAGGAAATTTAATACCACAGGGGAGACTCTGTACATTTCCAAAGTCTTAAGGATCCAAGAATGTGGAACACTATCAAAGACTTTACGATAATCAATCCACGCTGCACTTAGATTCCTGCGTCGTCTCCTGCAATTTTCCAGGATCATTTTATTTATCAGAAGTTGATCCTTGCAGCCATATGAACCTCTTCTGCATCCCTTCTGTTTCAGCGGGAGAATGCTGTTTGTTTCGAGAAAGGAATAAGTACGATTCGTCAGTACAGACGTGATCAACTTATACGTTGTGGAGAGACATGTTATCGGTCTATAATTTTCGGGTCTTCTGTTTCAGTTGTTTTTGGTATGAGTAATTCAGTAATCCATTCCGGGATTTTATTGGGATTATCTACAAGCGTTGATAATGTTTTTGCAAGAATTTCATGGGTAGATGAGAGATGATACAGCCGGAAATTGGGCAACTTGTCATTTCCTGGGGGATTCCATTTTTTAATATCGTTAGAGCTTGCCTAACATCACCTGTGGATATATTTTTCCCATTCTTGCAGAGGTGTATCCAGCATTCGTTCTTCTTCACGCCGTATCCATTCTGCATTTGGGTTATATTCCTTTGGGCTGCTCCAGATATTTTCCCAAAATGTCTGTACATTATCAATCGATGGTGGCCTTTCGACATGTATAGGTGTTTTCCCAATTTCCCTGTAAAATTTCTTAAGATCCGTTCGGAATATTTTATTTTGGCGATAGAACCTACAACGTTTTTCGTATCGTCTTGTTCTCTGCGCCTTTAGCTGAAGTTTTTGCTTCAGCATTTTCTTGATTGATGGAATATCAATTAGGGATTTAATGTTATATTTCCGCTTGATCTTTTTGCCTTTACGTGTGGAAATATTAGGGTTTCTGGTGAGCTCATCTAATATAGAAAGCTCACATCTGATTTGTTTTATTTCTCGAATCAGTTAGGTTTTCCAAGCTGGTTCTCTGTGTCTGTTAATTTTATTTATTGTCTTGACCCCAAGCTTCCGAGTCGCTTCTGAAGCTGTTGCGTATATGACGTTGTTAACTTCTGTGATGTTTCCCGGTGGTTTATCTGTTAACAGTGTTTCCAGAGCAGCATTGTATATTTTTACGATGTGCTTGTTGGAATTCGTCATATGGATTTTCGGGAGCTGGTCTCTGTCTGACAATTGTATGAAAGTTACTCTGCTGAGTACTTGGATGACGTCATTTTTCGCTTCGGTGATTTCAGCTTCGTGGTTTTCAAGGAATTCTAACTTATTGTCACTGAAGCTGACTCCAGGTACATTTTCTGGAGGACTACAGGTTGTGTTTAAGGTAGAGTCTTGGGTTTCATTTCCTGGGAGATTATTTCGTATTTCATTCGCTTTAGCGTCCACCTCATCCTCTGTCGCATTCCTTATTTCTACATTGGTCTCAACAGAGTTTGAGTGATGGGTCATAGTATTATGTCTTATATCTAATTTTATCTTATCTATTTCTGCCTCTGAGAGTCTGTTTTTTCGCATGATGTCTCTACGGACATTGGCAAGCATGTTTGGATTG